TCCTCCCAGTTTGGTATCATCAGCAAACTTGCTGAGGGAGCACTCTGTGCCCTGTTCTCAGACCTTCCTGGCTTGGTTAGTGGGATCCATCAAGCAAAATAGGAAACCTCATGCACATTGTGTGTTTTATTCAACGTGGGATGTGTAGAGCTTCCCAATTCTGGTGGAATGTCACCTGTAATGAGCTAAAGAAGCTATTTGTTCAGGTCCAGGTTAATGATAATGTGTTTCGTAAAGTTGATTTTTTTTGTTAGATGGGGACGATAGCTGCTCTAGATAAATGAGATTTTAAATACTTTATGTAATGCCTAGGCCAGCTGGCAAATTATATCTAAATTTCAGTAGCTTCCTAATCTTTACGAATTTTCAACTCTCCCTTCCCTTTTTAGACAAAGTTTAAAGGAAGGAGGGAAAAAAAATCAAAAACGATCAACAAATACAGTGCGTGTGCTCAAGCATCACGCAGAGCTTGGAGCTGCTTCCCGAGGAAGCAGAGCTGCTAGGAGCGGGCATGAGGAGCTGCAGGGGCCGCTGCAGCCGGCGGCGCAGGAGCCTCCGCGGGCCGCGCTCGTGCCCGGGGGAGGCAGCGCTGCGGGGCCCACGGGGGCTGCGCTGGCTGTCCCTGGTGTCCGTCCTGCCGCGTTGTGGCTCCTGAGCTGCCCACCCGTGCGCTGGGGACTCGTGTGCGCTGCTTCTTTAACCCATGGTGCTCCGAGCGAAACTAGCACATATTCACAGAACAGTCCTGCGAGACATATTAGGAGATTAATAATCCCACCTGGCAGAAATGAAAAGGATGCTAAGTGTCTTTTCCATAAGAAAAAAAAATGGGAATATATCAAGCATTTTCTGTAAATTCTTTTGAAACTTCCAGTGTTGTTGAAGTTGACATAAATGCTGCCCAGCCTCCTCTAACAAGTTTTTATCTTTCAAAAGAAAAGGATGTTACCTCTCTTCTCTGCCTTGCAAAGGAGTCTGGCCTGGATTTTGTTCCAGATTCCTGCTTACATGACAGCAGCAGAATTGTATTTGATGGGGTATTTCCAACTTGAGTGCAGTGATGAAAAGCAAGGTTTTCTTTTAAAAGCTCTTGTTAAATACCCAGCGCACCCAGGAGAGCTCTAAGCAGGTGGTCTCTAAAGCTTAGTGGAGAGTGAGAGAAGTGGTGCTATTTAGAGAGCAATGGTGAAATTCACCTCTGGACATAAAGCGGTTGCAAGATGCCTTTGCCTTAGTGACCCTGCTGCTACCACGGTAGGTGTTGGACACTGCATATATGGCTTAAAAACCAACAAAAACTCCTTCTTGCCTAACTTGCTGAGCTCACTTAATTTGTTAAACTACATAGATGCTACTTATAAGATTCTGTGCTGTATTCCCGTGTATCTTGCAAAACGAAGTGAAGCCTTTGCGATAGGAAATCACATTCTGAAGCTACATCTGCTGTATCTCATGGAAGAAAATAATTAATCCAAATATTGCTATTAGAACTGGCAGGCCAACAGCCTGGATGT